TCATTAATGAAGAGTGGTTTAAAAACACAAAGCTGAATATAATTGAAAAATGAAAGTCTTCCATTATCTTTTTCTAAAAACAATAGATGTAAATTTGGTCTGATTTCTTTGACATACACTGACATATGCACACGTTTCTTTTCCATTCAAACAGAGAGGCTTTGCCTTACGTGTTATTGTCCTCCAGTCTTCCACCCGGTCCTCTTTGTATGTGATTAATAATTAGGTTTCATTCTCGTAAGGAGGGCACACTCTTCTGAGTGTGTAAGAGCACAACTGATTTTATGCTCGCTGCTGCTGAGTGCTTCTCAGACTGATTCTGACTCCGTCCTTTCCTACAATGCTATAGTGACTGTGGCCTGGCCTGGTCTGTAGATCACTCTTTCTCGAGCCATTTCCTGGGCGCTGTTCCCTGCTTTCTATTCACAAGCAGTGTTTAGGGCAAGGATTTGTTTGGAGGCAGCAGTGTCCTTCACCCTGGAAACATGTGTCTGTGTAGAACTGTTTTTCTGTAGAAGTCCTTCAGGCTTTGAGTGTTGTTCATTCACTAGCTGTGGAAGTGTGGCTTCTGTGTTTGGTGCGATGGACCCACTTTCTAGCTCCTTCTGGCACAGATTTGTGATTTAAAGTGAGGAGGATGAACTCTATTCACTGTATGGTAAAAATATTATGATGCTGAAAGCAGTGATGTATGTGAGGCACTTAGAGTCTCTAAAGTGTGGCTTGTGTTTGGTGCGATGGACCCACTTTCTAGCTCCTTCTGGCACAGATTTGTGACTTAAAGTGAGGAGGATGAACTCTATTCACTGTATGGTAAAAATATTACGATGCTGAAAGCAGTGATGTATGTGAGGCACTTAGAGTCTCTCTGAGGAATAATAAGATGGAATGCTTTCAGAAGTACACGTGGATTACCTTCAGGCTGCCTCCCTGAAATACCCCATCAGCTGCAAGCCATGTAGGCAGTCTCTCACCTGCCTGTCCCCCGAAGAGCTGGAGGTGGCTAGGGCTTGGCTTCGTGCAGTGGTGTGGGGAACAGGGAAAGGGGATGTTACTAAAATCTCTGCATCAGGTCCTGGTCTCCTGTGAGCCGTGACTGCACAGGGCGAACTCATTAATAGATAGACAGAAAATGAGACTTAGAGAAGCTGAGCTTTGACCTGATCCCATGCTGCTCTGGGCAGCAAAGACCTCAGACTGAGAGCTTGCCACACCTTTTTTCAGAACATCAGCAAAGCAGAAGTAGCAACTGACTCAGAGGGCCCAGTGATGGTCCTAGAACAGTGGGGAGCTGTGCAGATGAAGACTTGGGTTCCTCCCAGGATGACTCTAGCTGGTGTAGTCCTGCCCTGGGGTATCACAGTGTCATGGGACCCATAGACAGGAAAACTAGGCCCTAATCATGGTTTAATTATGAAATGGTTTTCACCCAAAATCTTATAGAATGGCTCCCAACACAGTGGGACTCGCTAGGCTGTGAGTCTGGTCCTTCCTGCAGCGCCCTGGCCCCTGTGACTCCTCCTGAAGTCAGCCCGTGCTCTCCTCCTTTTAATTAAGAATAGTGACTAATTAGAAGTCTGCTGTATTCCATAGGCTTATTAGGGAAAGTCAGAGTGCCTGGGGGGAGATGCAACCCTGCCGCTCAGTGCTGAGTGAGCCTGCAGGGCCAGGCGACTTTAGAGTGCCTGGCACATCTGGGGGCCCTGCTGTCTTGCTAGGACACCCATGGTTGGAGAGAATGAGACCACGGCTTTCTGCTAAATCGTAACTTTAGCAGGACATCGGAGGGGTTTCTGGTCAGTCTCATTAAGTGTTATTCCTTATTTTTCATATATTGATCAACTACAATCATCAGATACAGGTGATAAAGATACAGAAATTATTTCTGTTACTTCTTGGGAGAATTCAAATTAGAATCTGACTTACATTTATATCACGTTTTGGTTTATTGTTAATATTTAATCTTTAAACTTTATTAATTCCTGGAAGTCCTCCATTTAACTCTTAAAATGCCTGTCATGGGCCGGGGATGTAGCTCAGTGGCACTGTGCCTGCCTGGCAATTGCAAGGTCCTGGGTTCAATCCCTGGTATAGGAAAAAAAATGCCTATCACATTCTAATCTTTAGAAAAATCTTTGTTTTGGGGAGTAAATTACTTGTCTGCTTCAAAGCTATCATTGTTTTACTTTTTATGCACTTCAAACCCTAAAGTCTGTCCCCATTTTCAATGATTATAATGGTTCTTATTTTCCCATCTCTTCCTTAAAGGATTCTCTACACATACACACTCACAACATTCACACTCCTACACACACACACACACACACTCACAGGGCCACTTTCTGATTTTGGCTTAAAGGGTTTTTGTTGTTGTTTGCCTGCTGGATTTTTAAAAAGATTCTTTGGATATAAGAACAAGAATAGCTAACTGCTCCCATAGTAGACAATGAAAATAGTCCCTTGAATTTTCATGAAATTTATGATTACAGTTGCTTATTTCTTTGTAGTTTCAAAGGCCTATGGATGTATTTTTCTGTTTGGGGTATTGTTAAATAATTTTTATTATCTAAACTAAAAAACTAAGGTGTATCCTTATACATAGAATGTTTTAATTCCTCTCTGGATAGCATTATTTAAAACTCTTGCTCCTTTCACTGTTCTCCTGTGGTCCCTGTGCCCTGCCTTGTTCCACCCAGAGCATTTTCACCTTATATAAACACAGCTCACCCCACTCATTACAGTGTGATGCCTTTGAAGGAAGGGATTTTTATCTTTTGTCTTTACTGCTATCCAGTGCTTAGAAAACCTTCCACGTAAATATCCGTCCAGATTTCCATCTTCTGTATTTACTTTGTATAATGTATTTAGTCTGAACTTTTAACTTTGAGAGACACTGAATTTGTTTAAATTTTTTGATGGTGAGGTCTGAGCCTTCTGAAATGCAAAAAATTGGAAGTTAATATCACATCTTTATTTTTAAGCTCACATTTTATGAAAGAGGTACACCTGTCCCTCAAATCAGGAATGTATTCCAAAATTCAATCCTTAAGGTATAATGTGGTCTACAACACATTAATCCCAGTCTCTTGCCAATTTCTGGGTCCATGATGGTAACTGATGTTCATATTGATGTTAATGACAGTGATCTTCATGTGCCCCAAGATTCCCAAACACCTTCTGATTCAAAAACTTCAAAAGTGGAATTCAGTGAAACAAATTGGGCACAGAAAAACAAGTATTCTGTGTTCTTCTGTGTGGAAGCTAAGACATCTGCCTCCTGGGTGCAGTGAGTGGAGCGGGGTGGTGCTGTAAGGGCCCCACAGAGTGGGGAGTCTAGGCCAGCGGGATGTGGGAGGTGGCTCCCCCAGCTCTGTCCCCAGGCAACACAGCAGGGTGGGTGTTATTTGGGTTTGGGATTTCCCCACACAAAGACATGGGCAAATCCCCACAGAGGTTCTGATGTTACACATGATGTGTGTGTATGTGTGTGTCCTGAACTGTCGCACTGCTCTCCCTAAACATACAGTATGCATTCAATTACTGTGTGTCCATGAAAAGTAAAAAATTTGTTAGGTTTTATTTATGATATTTTAGTGGACATCTAAATTGTATGTATGTAATAAGCCAGTTGTATAGAATACCGGCCCCCAAATGATCTGAAATAAATAAAAGCTTAATTTTGTTACATGATTGACCCCTACTCATCCCATTTATACCAGAATATAGACAGTTTTTCCTTGGTTCTGACACTGGCTGCTTTATGCGAGATTTCCACAAAGATATTTTACACCCTTCTTATTCGTAAGCTAAAATTGTTTGGCACATACCTAAATACTTCAGTATTTTTATGGAAGGTCACTGGAATTTTGTGTTGTTGACAGTGATGCAGAAATAAGTTTTTATAGGGATGCTCTTCTGGGGAAAGAAAAACAATAACAGCTAAGAGTCACTGGGCATTTCCTGCACTCAGTCACTCTGCTAAGTGGCTTTCACTGAGCAGTTTTACTCCTCAAAACCGCCTTTTGAGGAAGGTGTATACTGCTCACCCGCTGGATGAGAGCTGCCACAGAAGACTTAAGTATCCTCCCCAGTGCGCACAGCAAGTATGTGGGGATCCCGTGTGTGTGTCCACACCTTGCTCAGCTTCAGGAGGATGCGTTTAATGCTCTTACTTCAGGAGGGGCCATGGGTAGTGGTATGTCAGTCAGGATCTAGACTCATTAATTAGAAGCACATTAAATATTTTAACAGAGAGTGTAATGTAGGGAAATACGTGAACAGATTCTCAAGAACCAAAAGTGAATGCAGTGATTATAGTTTTATAAAATTAGTAATCACCATAGCAATCACCAGGGTCAGGGGACAAGAGGGAAGAGGCTGTAGCCAACAGGGAGAAGAAGAGAAGCCTCACATAGCTGAGTTTGAGACCCACAGGGGCGAGAGCTGAGTGGCTGCTGGGACCTAAGGAGTTGAGGGTTGACTGGCAGAACTTGGCCTCAAACCTCAGGGCAGGGTGTCTCCTGTGTGTGGAATGGAGGGGAATGAAGGCTGGCTCTCATGTTGAAAGAAGCTGCAGCTGTCATGGTCATGGGTTGATCGGATGAGTCCACCCTGACAGGAAGCAGCCTCTTTTCCCTCTTCCCATTCTAGTCTCCCACCCCTAGCTCAGCTCATGGAGCCTAACATGGCTTCTGGGCCATTAAATGGAGACTAAGGTGGGGTGCACATGGCCACCTCAGCATCGTGCTGAGACACAAGAGTGTGCGAACTGGCGGTGAGGAGGCAAACCAGAAATTAATGGTGAGAACTCTTGGAGACTAATTCAGTCTATAAATCATGGTGTGAAATGCTTAATTGGAAAACTTGAGTAAATAATAATATGACAGTGATGAAAACCGTGAGAATTACCATAGTATTTTAAGTGGAAAAAATATTGCTTTGTAATATCTGTGGGAAACTATTATTAGGAAAATATTTAATATCTTTTTTATTCGTTTTAGATAAGATGGGAAAAAAACATCACATTGGGGGAACCTCCGGGATTCTTACATTCTTGGTGGTGGTGAGTATTTTTTGCATCATTTTTGCTAGAGTAATAATTATTCCAGTAGGCCTGCACTACACCTGCTTATGATTTCACGCTTCTATTTTTCATTTTCTAAAATTGTTATCTGAGGAGTAACACTTTTAAGAAACAAAAAATCAAAACCAGATTACTGATATTCGATGTAAAGATACTGCTCCTGAATCAAGAAGGAATTGAAACTCGTATGTGGACTCTTCAACGGTATCATTTTCTATTACTGCATAACAAAATGCCAGGCAGTGGGGGAGACAGCCATCTCTAACTCTGGCCCCACTGTGGGGGTCCTCACCTTGCGACCTCAACTGGACACAATTATCTCCCAAGGGCTGCATCTCCAGGCATGGTCACATAGGGAGTCTGAGGAGATGCATTTCAGTCTGTAGTAGTAACACATGACCTGGCACTTACAGTGTGCATGGATTTCTGCTTACTGACCAGCTGTGGGGTTGCTCTTTCTTGTCTAGCAAGTTGTCATGTGCTGTCCACTAGCTGAGTAACCACAGCTTTGACTGGCCATTCCAGCTTCTTAGAACCCTCATTTCTCTGCTTGGGGGAATTGGGAGTGAAAATAATGGCTTGATTGGCATCTTTTGTAAGAGGCCAATTCTATTCCAAAATAGTAGCCACTCATTAAACAAAATCTTCCAAGAACAAGAGGGGAGTGAGTTATAAATAAGCAGGTACTGATGTCATTTTTATCTTCATTTTCTTGAAAAGAACAAGCATATTCTTGAGAAATACTTTTCTGATTTAGTGTTCAACAGATACTGAAATATCCACTTGGATTTTTAAAAGTGGGCTTTGGGGGGGATTTTTGCCATAGCAGTGGTACCTTTTAAAGTTTTATTTACTCATGAGGCTTTGGGCAAATTCCTTTTTGCAGACCTAGTAGCATTTATTTATTGTACTCTGTCAACAAAGCTTTTCAGAGCCTTGTATATGCCAGGCGCAGTACTCCAGATAGGGACACAGTGCAAATAAAATGGATGCACATCCCTCCGTCCCTCTCGGGCCAGTGTATGGAAAACAAGCAGCTTGTACCATTAGGGGAGCATTGAGTGTGGTGTAGGCACAGGCTGAGCCCATTTCACCTGGAGGAGCTGCTGTCTGGACTGAGGCTGCAGTGTGTAGAGAGCTGGCCAGAGAGACGTGGAGAGATGGAGGAGAATGTCGTCATACTGGGCACAGGACCCGGACGAAGCAGAGACGGTGCGCCATGCAGGAAGAGGGGAGTTTCAGTGTGGTGGACACTGAGGTGATGGTGTGCTTAGGGACGAGGCTGGGTTAGCGAGCAGGGAGTTAGGTGTAGTTGCAGAGACAATACAGGAGAGAGGTCTGACAATATCGCACGTGACCACGGTCGAGTGTCACCGGGGACTCAGCAGGGACATCCAGAAGCAGAGAAGCACCCAGAGCCATGGCAGTGAGTGTGGGAGTAGGGGGTGGAGTGGGATGTGACACGTAGGTCTGGGGAGGCACTAAGCTTCTGGGTGCACTGGACTCCAAATCCATGCCACCCATGTGGGGCTGTTGGGCAGGCAGCCGGGCACATGCACCTGGTGTCAGAAGAGAGGAAGACAGGTGAGTGGTGTGGTCCTCCCGTAAGGGATGAGTGGGCTTTGTAGAAGTTGGTTACATGAGTAATGCTGTAGGGATAAGGACGAAGGGGAGCTTATGAAGGAGACAGCCAAGGAGGTAGAGGAGCACCAAGGAGAGTCACGTCTGAGCAACTAAGAATAAGGGAGGTTAGAGAAGGAAGAAGAGAGCTTAGGTGAACAGTAGCAGTAGGAGTGACAGTCCTTAGTGTGGGGGAGAGGCCGAGGCTGCTGGTGGCTTCTGCAGGATGATTGGTCGGTGGAGAAGGCACTGGGGCTCAGGAAGTGGGAACGGTGGGTGTGGTCAGTCCGAGCGCGGGGTCAGCTCTGACGGGGAGGCCTCCCAGCTGGGCGGGAGAGACCCCGCCTGTGTGTGTGCACAAGGACCCGGCTGAGGGGCAGTGGTGTGCACCCCAAGGCTGCCCTAGCTGGGATGGCCGGAGCACAGTGCCTGCCTGGGAGGGAGAGAGGAGATGGCAGGCTCTGCCACTCTAGGAAGACAGTGTGGGCGTCTGGAGGTTGACAGTAAGAAAGTCGGTTTCTGTTCAGATTGCAGACAAGGCCTGGGGACCTCTACTGAGGGAAAGGAAAATGGTCACGCTGAGCTTTTAAAAGTGAAGAATAATTTTAAAAAAACACTTATAATCTGTACAGATACAGAGAGCTGACTAGGAGCACACAGAAGGCCACGCAGTGCGGAAGGCCTGGTTGCTATTGGTGCACACTAACGCATGGGGACATTGGTGTGTCCATACCATACAGATACAGAGCTGACTAGGAGCACACAGAAGGCCACGCAGTGCGGAAGGCCTGGTTGCTATTGGTGCACACTAACGCATGGGGACATTGGTGTGTCCATACCTCGTCGGCACCACTGTGCCCATGGTCAGACGGTATTGATGGGGCTGCCATCAGGGTGGCACCACTATGCCCAGGTGTTTGGCTTCTGTGCAGAGCAGGTGGCAGAGGCAGTTTCTGCACAGGGAGCTCAGCTCTTTCCGCCTTCCGTAGAAGCATTGCTTGTTAGCACCTCACGTTCCCGTTCCTTAGAAGAGGAGAGCTGTGCTAGTGCTGGGCAGGTGCTTCCTTGTCTTTACATAACACCACGTTTCCGGGTCTGTCCTGAGACCGTGCCTTCCCCGGGCCCCATGGGCGCACGGGACCGCACTGGGTCAGTTGTAGTTGTGGTTTCTGTCTTTCCTCACGTGCCTGTGGCAGGAGCAGGTGCAGCCTCCGGCTGAGCTTCGTTCCTGTATTTGGAGCCACAGTCCTGACAGTTAAGCACGCCCACTGTGCTGCTTTCCTGGGGTTCCGCTGTTCTCCTGTACAGTGTTGCCAGTGTCCAAGCTCAGTTCACACAGTGTGCATTTAGGGATCTGGACTGTAAATCGCTAACATTTCTGAATGTCACCGAGGCCTCTCACCGCTCACACCTGACGCTCTGCGAGTTTCCAGTTAGGTCTGCAAGACACCTGTCCCTGCTGGATCCGTGGGTTAACAGAGGGAGCCTTTGAAGAGTTTCCCATTAGTGTGTTCATTTCATGCACCTATTCCTTTTTATAAGCTTTCTTGTGAACTTAAATCAGTCCCATGCTCTAGATGAGTGACAGTAACTTGTGGTCTTTGGCTTTTTGCTTCTGTAAACTTTAGTTTGTTGTTCTTAGCTGTCCAAAGGTGCACCTCTTACAGATGCACCACTGCTTTTTCTTGTCATATTACTCTGATGATTCAAGGGTGTCCTTCCTGTACAGCTTTGATCTTCTGAGTGACCATGCATATTTAATAGGAGATATCAATAAATTTCATATAATTGGCCCATAAATATTTTCAAACTTTTTCTCCCTTAAATCTAGTACATGCAAATATATAGGAAGAATATTTCTTTTTTTAAAAGAGTATTTTTAATGTTTTTAGTATTTATCCCCCTAAAGCTATTAACATACTCCTGAAGCACCTACTTCATCTGTATAAATACGTGATTCTTCACAATCTTGAAGTCGTGGAATCTTCCGAATGGATGAGAGTTGTGAATCCCCTCTTATGGAAAATGTCTAGACCCTTTGTCATTGTGTACAGAGGCCCCTTCTTTGGGCTTCAGAGCCAGCAGATGCCTGTCATACTTCTCTAGAGAGAACTGGGCTTCCTAAGCTGTGTTCCAGTGAAGGTTCAGGACTGTGATGGTGGTTGTCTTTTTACATGGAGCAGGAAGGCTGTTGCTGCTGTTGAGGTCTAGATGATTAGGAGAGTATATATTCTTCCAGAGCTTACTGCTTGTGTCTTTGGTCAAATTAAGATCCTTGGGTGGGCCAATTGTACTATTACGACTTCTTTTTCTCTTTTTGTAGGATATTTGAAATGAGAATCTTCCCATTTTGTAAGCCTCTTCAGCAAATGTTTACAAAGTAAAAACTATGCTACTTTCAAAGAAAGGAGAGGTCAGTAGTAGGAGAGTTCAGCAGCTAAAACTCTCATAAAAGAAGTCAGTGTTGGTTAAAAGCCCAGAGCAGAAGCAATGCTCACCTCAGTAGAAGCAGTTAATCGCATCACGAGAGAAGGTTGAGTGAGAAAAAGGCATTTTGGGAAGGACCAGTCAGCATACAATCTCAAAAGGAGGGCGGTGTGCACTTAGGGTATGACAGGCAATCGAGCAGTCGACCCATAGGAGCAGTAGGAAAATGTAGGAGCAGTAGATGAAAGTGGGGCCAGATCATGAAGTGCTAGAATACATGAGGGATTTGAGCCCAGGGCCTGTGGATTTTAGACAAGGTGCATGGCAGGTCCCATGTGCCGCTCACTTGGCATCAGCATAGAGACAGGTTGAAGTGAGCTGAGAACCAAGGCAAGCTTGCCTGACACTTGAACGGTGCAGGTGAAAGGAGAGAAGGCGAGAGGTTCCAGGCAGCAAGGCCGCCGAACTCCCAAGGCCTAGATTCGCAGGATGGCGTGGATGGCACTGCTGAGAGGGAAGTGGGTATAAGGAGAGCGCGGCTGGGGAGCTCCCGCCTTGGCTGGGCCTTTACACCCGGAGCTGCGCAGAGCTCAGAGCCAGTCAGCCAGTCTTAGCCCCAAGGTGGCTGCTCAGGTAGGATTCAGCCCCTTCAGCTGCACAGCAGAGGGGAACTGGAGGTGACACTGTCCTGTGGGACAGAGGGGAGCAGCATCTGCCTGGGTCTGGAACCTGGGAATCAACATTGACATGTAGGTGGATTAAGAGGATCATCAAAGAACAGTACACGGAAAGGAAGGAGAGTGATGGAGAAAGAAGAGCGTAGGCAACCTGGAAGCTTCCCAGAAGAGCAGCCCAAAATCCGGGCTCCTCGGGGTGAGAGCGGCCGGAGGACTTCTGGGCAGTGGGCAGGGAGGACGCTCGGTGCCCTGTGC